GCTACATATGCATGAATGTTGCATATGCATTCATTCGTTGCATGGCTCGATTATTAATTTATAATATATGTAATTCGCTTATAGAATTTCGGAAGGCAATGCTGGAACTTCTAAACCTGCATATTATGGTAAAACGATCTTTTAACTGTGATATTTGAATTATCTGTATGTATGTTAATAGAAGAAGTTAGTTTTTTGTATGTATTTATTTAAATAATAATTATTTTAGATAATATTTTTGTTTACAAAACCCAGTATAAGTAAAGGAACACAATAATTTTTATTTTTCTATTATATTTGTTTCATATATGTATTTTTAAGAAAATGAATTCTTTATTGATATATTCATGAAATTCTATTTTATCTATGTTAAGTCTGTTATTATGGAAATATTACATGAAAGAAATAAACTTAATTCATGTTCTACAAAAATTCCAACAAAAGCACAATATATACTTATCTTTTATACGAAAAATGATTTTATCCTCTCCGAAGAAACTTCAGACTATGAGCTTAAAACGGCTTTATGTCTGACTGAAAGTATGTCCTAAGCCATTGTAATACAGTCGGAAATAGCTTGCTTCGTGTAATCCTTATATCCAAAACCAAGATGCAGTAAGCGCTCTTGGATCTCTATCTGTTGCATCTTCCAAAAAATCGTAAAAGATAATTCAGGACGAGCGATTATAGCTCTTCGTGCATTTATTCTGAAGTTAACTTTTCATTGGCATATTTTTCAATAGACTTTCGGATATTAAAGGAATGTTTTTGTTAATATCATACTTGGATTTTCAGCCTTACTGTTTTGTGATTAAAGTGCCTTTTTTAATATTTTGGCCAAATAAAAAGCAAGATGGTGAATAACTGTTGAGATACTTAGGAGCGTTGTGACTTTTAGTATCAAATTAGCACATTTCTGCTTAATTCCAGAAGGTTCTTCATCTGCTGAAAGGATTGCCATTTTTTTATGTTTCTTTGATCTGTCTTCAGAGATACTTCATTTCTTCACAACTATTATTAGGTATTTAGGTAGAGAGAGGAGCTTGGACGGTGCAGGCGTATAATTTCAAATTTTACCTACCTACTAAAAGACTTGGGCCTGTCCAGAACTCACATTAATTCATTCTTGGAACGTACGTGGAAGGTGGCCCTATTAGGATGCTTTCAAATTTGGTTAGGTAAAGAGAGGAGCTTGGACGGTAGAGGTGAGCGTTTAACGCGCATTAGATAGAGACCCTTAAGTCTACATCTGGGTCGCAAGTCCCAGGCACTGTTGAAGCTCCTCTCACTACAACGATGGACCCGGCATCCGCACGGTGAATACATTGAATGCTAAGAGGTTTCATCTTTAGTTACAATGACATCGTTATCATTGTGATAATCATGAGAAATAATCCTAAAGGCTTATTTATTTTGAGTATATTCGGTTAAATCCTGCGACACAAAGCGTTACATTACGCAGTCTTATACACACACATTATCCACGAAGTTCGCTAAGAGTTTAGAGTGCTATTTTAAATTTCACATAAAGAAAGGGATATAAATAAATAAATAGACTCGCTGACGCTTCAACATAAATGTTTGAATTTAAAGAGAAAGGTTTTTGAAATGCTTCAACTATGTACCATTTCATCATACTATTTTATTTTAATAGTGTATGAAATTAGTAAACGAAATTTAAATATCCTCGTTTTATTCATGTATTTAGGTATGTTATACTTGGAATAAACATATTGTCACATTAAAAACTTAATATTTTACTTATATTATAGATCTCGAAGTTATATTTGAACCATAAGTACTACTGTATTGTTCAAGTTGTCAATGAATCTATAAAAAAATATGTAATTAGAAGAAATTATTTTAAATAGTCTGTATTATTATACCGAAGTAATATTAACATAAAACTCCAATAATAATAAGTTTTATTGTTTATATTAGATTCTATATGAAGTATTTGAACAGTTATCTTACCGTTTCCCACACATAATAGAAAAAGATTATAACATATCCAAGTCGAATCCAAAATCAGTAGCTTTTCAAATATTTGGCATTTTCGCATTACGTACGTAGCGTCAACAGTACTTCATTCATAAATCTTCGTACATTAAGGTATTAACGTAGGTTATTGAGTGAGAAACGGGAAACTTAACGTATGTAGTGTGTTGTAAATTTATGCTAAGACTACTATATGAGTTTGGATCGTGAACCTAAAAGTCCATCTTATTGAGAGAACTAAATCGTAGATTACATTAATTTCTGTAAAATGTTTCGACTGATATATCTTGAAATCATCAGTGTAGAGTCTTGAAATTTTATTTATACATGAAGCTATTTGTTGAATATGCCTATAATTTTATCTACTTTTTAATCATTTATATTTTAAAACCTTAATTTATAAGAACGTTTTTGTTAGATCAACCGAGTTTAGTTAGAGCATTGGCTTAACGCCAGCTCCTTTGCCTGATTCTTCCATTCATCACACGTTATGTGCTTTTTATTAACCATACATGCATGGTAAATAGCACCATACTAATTTAGTGGAGTGAGAGGTTTTTTTAATGTGAGAACAGTTTGAGAAATTCCTAGTCTTTCAAATGTACCCGTCTTAATTTTAATGCTGTAGAAGCTTATAAAAATATTTGAGCTATATTTTTTATTGTACTAGTTTTTTACTTCGACTTCATCCGCTTTCGCTTACTAATTCGGCTCATGGCGAAATGTGTAAAATTGTGCTATGTTTTATTCTTATGGTCAAGCTATATCACTTAAAATTTTTATCATAATTCGTTTAGTAATTTTTGAATGAAAGAGCAACTAATATCATACTACATACTAGTCATCTATACATATTACGTCAACCATATATATTCTCAAACATTCACATTTAAAATATTTTAGGATTTTTATTTATTGAAAATGTTTTATTGTATTTTAGAAGAGATATTGTATTTTTTTCATTTATTTTTATTCATACTAGATCTCACTTTCGGATTTGCTCGCTATTTCAAGTTTGCCCTTACACTCATGTAAGTCTTTTACAAAACAGAGACTGGAATCATTTCTAAATGAAGTCTTTCTAAGTTATTTTTTATTTATATAAATTATTTATAAATTATACGTTCAATATATATATACGTATTATATATATATATATATATAATCGGTTGTTTAATTGGCTTAGACATATCTCTCTTGTGAACAGGGTTGTCAATTAATCCAATTAATTAATTATCACTCAATAACTGTACACTATGGTTGTACCCTGATATGTATTACGAAGATTGTGGTATCACCCAAGATAGATTACACGTATTAAATTCATCATAGGAAAATAAATCTGAGATTGAAATATTTTTTATAAAAATTGTATTAAATTTATCAAATGAAACTAATATTTTTCGGATATACTACGCGTGCTTTATTTAAAAAATAAAGGAAAGTTTAAGGGAATGTAGTTTTTATTTTACAAAAACAAAGCACGTATAGTATATCTGAAAAATATTAGTTTCATTTAAATGAATACTCGCGAAAGACTTATATGTCAGTGCATTTCTTTTTCTTCCTGGCAATTTTCCAGCTTTAGCCAGGGTCTGCCTTACATGTTGTGAATAGTTTTGGCTAATTGTTTTTACGACCGGCCGCCTGCCTGACATCAATCCTCTTTGGGAATGTATTAATCAGTGATGTCTAAATACTCTTAGAAAGTACATATGACTGGGAAAAATCACATTGGTACTTGCCAGGACCAGGATCGAACCCGAGCCCTCGTGCAAGAAAGGCGGGCCTTTTAACTACTAGGCCACTACTGACTTTATGTCATTAAATTTATCAACATCAAAAAAGTATGCATACGGTCGTATTGAATTATTGTGATTCTTGTTAAGTGAACTATATACTGATTACATTTAGTAACCGGATTTCAATTTAAAACATCCAAAATTTCATTATGAGTACAGAGAATATCCATTAGAGTTGGGTGTAGGCTTCAAGCCAATTTTAGTCACCAATCCTGGATATAATTGAGTTCCGAAAAAGACCACGAACGTGTTACTAAATGTTACCAAGATCTTTTTTCTGGAACTAAAGTAGCCAGGCCGTGGTCGTGGCCGTAACCAGGAGAGTTTAGAGATTTATCATTGCATATCTTTTTTAAAGTAACAAACCATATGACAAACTGTAATCTCATTTTGTAATTTCAGGAGAATAAATCTAATTTTTATGTTTTATGTTTCTATAGTTCTGATTATTTTTGACTCTGTTATCTAAATGAGTTTCAGTTAAATCTGAAATGTTGTTTAAGGTCAAGAAAATGGTTTTTAACTTTCAGTCTTACACTGGTAGCATAGGGCTTGAATTTTTATTTTTTTTTATTACAGACGCAAGATTCCCCGTCTAAAATCAGACTTGTGATTGATATACATAAATTTTTTCACACGCTTCACCATTTCAAAGACTTAACCATTAACCTAAATGAGCTTAATTTTTTTCATCTGAATGCTTTGTATTAAAGGTTATACATATGTATATCAACCAATAACGAAAAAAATATCACTATAAAATTGGTTGGAGGCTAAGAAATCTATTTTCAATATTTCTATTAATCAAATAGGTATTATCGATTGAACAATAATTCTATTTTAGGGAAAACAAGTTTCATTGAATTCAATTTATAGATAAGGTTGTTATTAATTATTAATGGTGTAGCAGCATTTGTCGTTGGATGTCTTTTGATGGGTTTACTTTAAATTTCTGTTCCACCATCTTTTAGACATTCAATTGATTTATTTGATGTTAAATTATCATCATCCTCTTCATTCGTTTTCTTTTACGTCTTATTTTCCCAACCCATTTAGGTTTTTAAAGAGGCTAGAAATTTAGACAGTTACCGTTTATAACAAAGAAAACAATGTTAGGAAGTAACATTGAAACAGTTCAAATACTTGGACCCTTGAAAATTAATGTCCAGGAATTGCGTGTGATACATCTAATTGTTTCAGTGACGAAACCAAAGAAATAGATGGTCGAGCAAGATCTGAGTCTGGGGATGCTGATTCAGTGTATCACGTGAGGGGTGCACTCCATGACGCCAGGTGGAGAGAGAATCAGGTGAGACAAAAAAACCTTTAAATATCAAGTATCAGAAATATACACAATTTTGGAGTATTCAAAACTGAATAAGTTCAAGTCTTCTAGATTTTTACATCTTAGACTTTTTGAAGGTCGTTTGCTAATGCCAATTTTGGAGTACAATGTAAAGTAGATGTTTAAATTTTTGTAAGTTTTAAATCAAAAAGTGTTGGAGATTATCATTTATATGACAAAAAAATAATGAATTAATATTGTTAAATTTCTTCTTTTTATATTAAGTACCAGTTTTATTCTTTAACAAGAAAGCATAGTTATAACTTGTTGACGTTGAATAGTTAATAAATTCTTCTGTTTAATTGCAGTTCGTCCTCCTAATTATCAAGCACAAGAATCTTTTTTTATTTTTATAATTTCTGATAGAAATTGTTGTTCATAGTCTGTAATAAAATGTGCGGTCAAAATCCATTAAACAAGTGTAAAATCTTCGAGTATAATTTCCATATTATATAAGCATTTATATATGTATATTAAGCATTTAATACGAGTTTTTATTCATGTTTGGTTTAAGAACGACTTTTTAAATTTGTTTAATTTTAAATTATTATAATTTTCAATATTTTACTATGTTTAAATGATGCAACCTTATTTCCAAAATCATAATCAGTATGCAAATCTATTATGAAACTTGTACATTAATAAATAATTTGATTCATAACTGTTATCATACTAATTTATACAAACGAAACTAACATTCGGTTGAAATTTATTTCACTTTAATCCATATAAAGTAATGGATGCTAAATAAGTTACAATAACTGGCCTTTCGTGGGAATTAAACTCATTTTAACTAATTACGGTATTGTTGAGAACATTTGTAATAAATAGCGTTCAGTACTAATACGATAGTGCAACTTATAGTTTTGAAGTTCAGTAATAAATTGACCGTTCTCACCCGACTTTGGTTAACGCAAATTTGTAATGAAATAAAATGTAAAAAGTGGTGTAATATATGAGTATGAAGTTAATATTAGTACATGAAGACATTGAGTGTAATGAGTCTTTGTAAAAGTATATGTTATTTTATTACTGTACATGAGGTATTTACAAAACTACTTATATATTCTAATTTGAATATGTCTGTCTTATCTTAGGCTAGTTGAATATTTTTTAAGAAAAAATGCCAAAGATACATTAAAGATTTGTTATAAATTGATGTAAGGTTAAATCTAAATTCCTTAATATATTATTATAAGTAAAGTTTAATAACTCATTATTAATAACAACCCGTTATTTTAAACGTTCCATTCATACAAATGCACTAAAGTTATTTAATTTATGAATGCTGAAGTTTTGGTAGCTTTCAACAGTATGCGTTGGAAGTTAAATTTATTGGTCTGAAGCGATTTCGTATAATAAGATTTAAATTTGTTTTCTCGTATTCCTTTCTTGGTTTCGTTTGAATTATTGTTTATATAATTTATTTAACGAGTTTAATGTCGTCAAATAAACAGTGACATTATTGCAACTGGTGGATACTTTTGTTACAAAATAATAAATGCTTATCTCAGTGCGTTTGTTTTTCAATTATTAATTAATTTTGAATGTATAAAGTTGGAACTGAACACGTTACTTAAAAATAGTAAGAATTATATGTGAAGGACAACTTAAAACTGAATTAAATAAATGAACTAACATCTATCTCTTATGTTTAAATGGAAATGTTTAAGCAATACTTACTTAAGTTGAACTACGTTTGACAACCGACAAGGTTGACGAGGGGAAAAAACCGAAGGTAGTAGAGTATCTCTTTGTAAATCACAATGCAACTTATAAATAGCCTGGTACTGTACTTCTTTTCAATACCAATTAGTTATTGAAATTCATTATATATTTATATAAATTTTCAGCAACTTTACATAAAGCCAATTTACATCACGTGTTCAAAGCAGAATTTATTTGGTAACAAAAATGAGATCACTAACAACACCGAGGCCTGAATTATCGTTTATTTAAAATAACTTTTATTTAAACATAGTAAGGTTTATATTGAAATGACAAAAAATGTAGTTGAGGCTTAAAACTTGGCTTTATTCCAATGAATGTTATAGTCACCGCGATTTTGGGCAAATGGCACATATATTGAGATTTAGTTGCGTTTTTTTTGGCTAAGAAATGCTTTTTTCGGTTACCAAGGTGTTAGAACAGACGAACAGTGTTTAACATTGTTTAGCTAAATTTTCATGTATCTCTTTCATTATTTTCTGCATCTTACAACAAGTTTGATTATGAAATGATTTAATGAATGTCTTAAGCTATCAACGGCAATTCAACGGCAATTAAAAAGACGTTCTTTTTGTATATTACCTGATAATCATTTAAGTTTATCAAGTCATATTAAAAGCGAAAAATATATAAAAACATACGACGATCCATAATACTATAAAAACATGAAAACTGGTACAATATTTAATATTTCTTTAATTTATAATAAATTTATTTCTTAGATAAAAAGACCAGCTAAGTTGACAGGAATCACTGAGTTTCATCGCTAAAATGTATCGATATTCTTACCAGGCTTTATCCCAACGTCCAAAGCGGGGCTGGGCTGCGGTGAGGGATTGGTGTGTCGCTTGGTGGCACTCTGGGAGAGAAGACCTCGAGGATACAGAACCTGAGGAAGAGCCATCTGACCCTGGGTATGCCACTCCCGTGTCGGTGGAGACTCCGTTACAGAGTACTGTGTCAAGGTAAGATATATAGCCTACCTTACAAATTAACTGAGAACTAGTTTATTGAACAAAATTTAGATTTATCTAAAAAATCATTCTTTCACTGTAAACAAATCTATCTTTTTAGATTATACAAAGGTTATATATAAACTTACACCGCGTTGCATGAATAGGATCAGCATATTTTCCTTTGCTATCAAAGTATATAATAATGATACAAATAAACATATTAAGGCATGAAAATTTAAATATAAACGATTGAACTTCTTAAGACTCACCGAGTCTTAGTAACAGTGCCGGTAAGAAATGATGACGCGTCACTTAAATCAGACCATTAAATAAAACCGGAAAAAAATCTGTTTAATAATATTTATCTGCAAAACTATTTGTAAATAATTAATACTTTTTCCCTCTTTTGAATTAGATCGAAAATCTGAGACAGCATTGAAGAATAAAGAGTTCTTACTAATGTATTTAATAGACAGGTTGCTCAATACTTTTTTATATCCTTCTCGAGTTATTGCTTCTTTGAAAATGTGAATAAAATTAAATGTAGTTTAATAGTTTCAAACAATTAAGTTTATTGTTATTATTATTTAATATTCACAACTCAAAAAGCCTTTATTAATATCCAATATTTACTTTTTATTTGTCACTTATTTCTATATTTGTTCATAGGTGCACATCTCTTAATGTCATAAGAGATCCGTACGCTGGTCGTGGGGGTTCGGGAGGTTCGAGTGTCACAGATGGAGGAACTTCCCCACTCCGACGAAATTTCGAGACTCCAGCCCCTATACCAGCTGCCAGAGATAGCCGATCGTTACCACCGAACACCAGAATCAATACCTCTACATCACCAGCCCCCAAATCCGCATCCGCTGATTCGGTCTACACTATCCTTATCAGATTACCAGATGCTGATACAGACAGACCCAGTATCAAAATGATAACCGAAGAATCTCCTCCGACGAATACAAGAACACACTATCGACCAGCCCGAGGAGATTCAGAATTGAACTTACACCCAGCTGGGCACGCCGCACTAACCAGACGAACATCACACATACAAGACGTGAGAATTCCTCTCAATGCGAAAATTATTCCGAAACAATTAGCCGGCAAAGGTATTACCTCAAAACAGCCAAAGAAAAAGAAAACTCAAGAGAAAAAACAGGAATCAAAAGCTGCGAAAACGCTCTCAGCAATTTTGTTATCTTTCATCATCACTTGGACGCCTTATAATATCCTCGTGCTATTGAAACCACTCACAGCATGTACCAAGTGTGATGAACTTTGGTCTTTCTTTTATGCGCTATGTTACATAAACTCCACAATAAATCCTGTGTGTTATGCCCTATGCAACGCAACGTTCAGGCGAACGTACGTTAGAATTTTGACTTGTAAATGGCATAATAGAAATAGGGAAGCAATGACTAGAGGAGTGTATAATTAGCGAAATGGCATTAATATAAAAAAAAGTATTTAAATAAAGAAAATTAAAAATTACTTAAGTTACATTAAATCGGTACCAAAATAGTGATTGCCCGATTTTGGTACCGGTATATTTTCTTTGAATTAAAAACGATGTATAAATACAATATTTAATTAAATTTTTTGGTAATATCAGTTATATTCGTGCTTTATAACTTTTTAAATCAGTGCGATGTCTTTGATAGGATAATGGAAATTTTAATGATCTCAATAAAAATGATTTACCTGCTTTCATTTGATAATTCAGGACCGCTTTGAGAACCATAGATGCGTTTATCCACTATTCAAGGTATATCCTGGATTTATTTGAAGCAATGTTTTTGTTAGTGAGCGAGTCCCGTCCATTTTAAATTTATTTTTAATATTAGTTGACCGGTGGAGTTTTGTAATTTTCCGTTCTTCTGTTGTAAGAAGACCCTGATACCGAAGGTAATGGCATGCAATAGTGAGTGAGTGATTTATTAAGTGAATCTACAACGGATATTGTGTCTATATTGTAAGCTTGAAGTTACTTCTCTAGTAAAAATGTCTGGTATTCTGGTAAAGTGTGAGCTTGTAGGATAAACTCGACGAATTTAGTGCACGAATCTTGACATTCCTTTAAATCGGTGTTATATTATTTGCAATATATAAAATTATCTTCGTGTGATATGATTAAGTAATTGACCAATGTTGTTTGTTGAAATGTTTAGTGTAATTTATTTATGGATTTCGAGAGATATTTGAGTCTTCATTTTCAATTCTAGTCGTACATTATGTTCCTTTTGAGATTTATTATTATTATTATTATTATTATAAAAAATGTTAAGCAATATCGAAACTTAGATTAATGGGTATACCATTTTGATTCTGTCTTTATCTTACTGTTTCCTTTCAAACAGCATTAAACCCTCTATACAACGACTTACGCGTAGTTTTATCTTTAGATTATTGTTGTATTACTGTAAATTCTTAAACTAAACTTTCACATTTCTACTTTGTGACGTTTTTGTCGTACGTGCGTATATCAATGTGATAAAACGCGAATAGTGAATCGAGGTACATAATTAACATTTTTTAAATATGACTACTGATAACGCAATGCATATTCCCATGTTATTTAATTCATTCCATATATTTCAAACTTGATGATTTAATTTTAAAACTTATTTATTTTTTGTATCGGCATGCGCTATCAGTAGTAGTAATAACGTGAAGTAGCATAAGTGGTTCTTAAAAATATATTCTAAATGTGTGTTTAAATATAAAAATATAACATAATGTATAATTTTACCATATTTGTATTGTCGTATATATAATAATTAAATATACAAATAATCGTCGTAACTTATTATATGTCGTGGAACGTTCCTTTGTTAGCAATGGATATATTGTATTCATTCAAAGTAGACATACATACAATATATCTAACTACTATTTTAAATGAAGATTTTTATACAAACAAATGAATTACGCATTTTATTGTTCATTTAATTTAATTTGAATGTAAATGTAAATATTTTATTGCGTTAAATTAAACTGTTCTTGTAATTTCAGTAATAAAATTATTATTCAAATCTTTGTATATATTTCAAATTTTACAAGAGAAACAGTATTATAGTAAAAATGCTCAAAAAAAATTTTTTTTGGAATATAATTTGATATCGAATGCGTAATTCTAATAAATTCACTATTGTTAGAAGTAGGTCAAAAATTATTACAAATATGAAGAAATAGTATATACTAGTAGGAAAACGCGCTTAATATTCATAATTTTCTATGTGAAATACATTTATTATTTACTTGCATCAATTCCTGTTCTTGTTTTATCAAAGTAACTCGTATGAAACGAGTAACAATGGGAAATAATTTTTCTTTATTTGTAATGAATTTTGGTCATTTTAAATCCTAAATAAAAAAAAAGCGCACAGTAACCTTAATTTAGATTTTAATTGTGAAATATTTTTCTTGAAATTTCAATTATTTTTAGATTTAGCAGCACGATTTTAAAGGATAAAATTCAAATATTAAAATATATACCCTTTAAAATCGTAAATGTATATAGTTTTAGACAGCCATCAATGTGACATTATATAGATTCATACGATTTACATGATATATATATAAAAAATAATATTAAATATAATGAAAATGATATAAAAATCTATGAGATGAATTAATAACCGTACTTATATATAATCTCAATATTATCTTTATTTGTGATAGTTAATTTAATATGTTGTTTAAAAATGAATGAAATCATCGGCAGCGTAATTTATCCTGTAAAGAATATTGCTCAGTTAGTTCTAAAAATGTGGTTATTTTAATGTAAAGTAATAAAAATATATTTATAGATTATTTTTGTTCCAATCCACCCTGTAGGAATCCTTTGGCTTAGAGGAGCAGAAAATTGCTTTGCCAGTCAAAGGGTGACCTGCGTGTAAAAATACACTTTGACGTCATCGTAGTGTCATGACGTCATTATATGAATCGGCTTCTGGTACTCGATATAAAAACAATTACAAAGAAATCAATTAAGTGTTACGAAGCCGAAATAATAATAAACGTCCGTATTAAAGCCGAGTAAGTTTTGTACTGATTTCAAACTGAAAGTTTTTAATTTATATATCGATGACTACTGAACTGTCGGTTTCAAAGTAAATTTCGTAATAAGCACGGTTACATAAAATAAACAAGTTAGAATGTATAACCTTTGTATGTCATTTATGATATTAATGAATTATTATCGATTTTTAAATTGTTGTTTTTTAAATATACATATAAAATGAAAGGTAATAAAATTATCCTTATAAGCAGTGTTAAATATAAATCTCTGGCAGTAATTGTTTTGACGATATATAATAAATATCTGATTATTAGTATAATATAATATTAACCAGAGAATTTTATTACTGATGTTTTGACGTGTAGCAATTATAGAATTTAATATTGTGCCAGTATTGATGTGTTAATATTATATATAATATTATATTATAATATTAATATATAATATTATTTTTCACTGTATATGTGATGCTCACGAATAATTTATTTTTGATCTCCCTAGTGCCACTTTAATAATTTTAAGATATTAGGGCTTTGTGTTGTGTTTTTAATACATTTTCTCTTATATATCTTGTTGTATATATTTTCTAGGTATATTGTGAAATATTAAAAATAACTAAAACTAATTCTGTACCTATTCGTTACTGCCGATAACCTAATAAGATGTTTTGTTTCAATATATTACTTTGTTATTTTAAAGATATATTCATTATTCAAAATTATGCCTGACAGAAATTTAAATTAGATTTTTTAAAGATGTTTTTCGACGAAATTGCTACTGTAATTTGTACAGGCGTATATAATTTTTTTGTTTTAAATGCATTTAGCAAAGCATGCTTTGATATGGTGATTTGTAAGGTCTCTTTATAAAAAATAATTTTAATAGTTATAATCAATGTACAAGATCTCATAATGTATTCAATGAATAAATGTGTTTTTGTAAGTTATTTTAAATATCATTCCATGTTTTTGTATAGCCAAAGACAATAAAAATTTAACTAAACATTGTTATTTTCATGAAGGCTGTATAAATAGTTACACAAATATATATATAATTATCAAAAAAATAAATTAAAGTTGCCCCTGATATATAACATATGTGATTTTTATGGTTAATTTATTAAAACTTCTATTGCTATGAAATATTCCTTTTTTCTAACTACAATCATTCATCGAAATGCTTCTTATAAAATTGGCTTTTAATCTATAAACTTTACAAAATCGAATTTGTATTGAATTAAATATCAGATCAAATTTACCTGAAATGGAATATATATGTATGGACATACATATGTATAATATAATATGTATAAACAAAAAAAGAACCTGTAGTTACTGAAGTTGGTTGAAAAATAATAATATCTATTTAATCTCTATTATTTTTCTATTTGTTTCAAATTTATCCAAATCAAATCGATAAGTTGCAGATAATTTCATGTGGGTTAATTTAATATATCTGTAACAATCTTGTGACATCTCCCGATAAAGTCTTATCAGTAACAAATTTATTCTCGTTTGATACACGACTCGTATATTCCACTGTTAAATCATTAAATTTATAAAGCTTTTGTTAAATAGTTTTCCATGAAATATCAAAATATATTCAAAAACAAATCAGTGGTGGCCTAGTGATTAAAGGGCCCGAGTTTTGTACACGAGGGCGCGGGTTCGATCCTGGCAAGTACCAATGTGATTTTTCCGAGTCATATGTACTTTATAAGAGTATTTAGACACCACTGATAGACGGTGAAGGAAAGCTTCGTGAGGAAACCTGACTTATAATTTAACAATTATAAGTTTGAAATCACCAACCCGTCTTGAGCAAGCGTGGTGATTAATGCTCAAACCTTCTCCATGTGAGAAAGAGATAGGCTGATGAAGACGACCATATTTTTAATACGTTCATTGTATAAAAATTACGCTTAACCTCAGTTTGTAAAGACACTTAAACCTAAACAATTTTTCATTAATAAATCTTCGTACATTATAGTATTAATATAGGTTATTGAATGAGAAACGGGAACGCATCGTATGTAGTCTGTTACAAACTTGTGGTTAATGTACAGATGTGTGGAAACTGGTTTTCATCATCTCAACATCGTCAGTGACAGGAACTAACATTTCAGTCTCTGACAAAAAGATAGATAGAGACATTGTTATAATAAATTGGATAATGTATTTCTAAATGAAATGAAAATGCCACAAATTAAATGAATGTAGCTTTTGAGCGTTAAACAAACGTTTGGTATTAGAAAATTTCATCATTAATTACTTTTCATTAATTTATATTAATAAAATATGATGTTGCAGATTTGACTGGTATATTTAAATTATAATATTGTTTGACAACAAAATAAATAATAAGTATTCGTATTTATTTACGAAGAATATTTAAAAAACAATAAAATTCAATTACTGAACAACTATTTGAGTGATTTTATTAGAGAGACATGCTGAAATAGAGAAAAACCTGTTTTGAATACAGTTATCATGGTTTATTTACAATATAACTTTTTTCGTTCAAACGAAAGTAAGTCTATTATTGTTATTATTGTAAAAAGCACAATTTCACAATAGTTTATAATTTAATTTGTCCATATTAAATTAAATTAAATGGACTTTATTGGTCTATATTTTTTAATTTTTATTTGTTTTAGTAATAAATCGATTGAAAAGTAACTTGATATATACACAGTTGGTATTTTTATTCCGATATTCCGATGGATTCAAAACATTTGCGGTAGAGACGTGCTTGTGAATCTATAATCGAATAAGTGCGCACCAATTTTAATTCACTGTTGAAGCATTCGATCAAGTTTATTTTTGAAACTTCAATGTATTCGTTTTGGTATATAAATAGAACTCAAGTTTTGATAAAATAGCCATATTAATCTGACTATCAATAAAACTTGAACAGTTCTTCAAAATAGTGATTTTGCTTTATTGAAGCATTTACGATTTAATTTATATCTGACTATCTTGTACTCATCTGACTAATATTACAATTGAAAGATGAGAAATACTGTCAGATATTTTATTTCATTACTTTGTTACATATGCATGCATACCAACAATTTTCCAATACAGAGAACAAAGGGTTTTCAACTTCCTTAGGTATACATTTTCCTTGTGTACATTTATGCATGTGTGCTCTCCAATTTGGTCAGAAATTGTCCTTTTAGAACATCACGTTTTGCCAATCTATAGACATTCGAAATATATATTCCAGTTTACAATTTCTCTACATAGGAGAATTTGTCATATATGTGAAAACTTTTTAGTTTTCTTATTATACTTATATATGTATATGTCAAAGAATATGTTACAAGTCACTAATTTTACATTCGTTCATAACCTTTTCAATGATTATTTTTGTAGCAGTTCATAGTTTTAATTAATTAAATGTAATTTGTTCCTGAAATATACTCGTAGAAGTTTCTTAACAAAAAATCAAGAAGTCGTATATGTACAATACTGTAGAGATACGAGATTTTAAGTTTTAAACGCAGATAACAATTTTTTTTGTTTATAATTTGCTTAAGAAATTCTTTCTTAAACACTCTTTCTACACCACTAACCAAAAAGAAAATAATTTATGGTAATTTTAATGCATTATTTATATTTCTATAATTTCTAGTTATAGCTCGAAATCAATATCATTATTTTAACATATACTTCTGTGAGAAGTATATGTTAAAATATTGATATTGATTAAATTATTTTAACATGAAACAAACTAGATATGATTTGTCATCTTAGTATTTGATTTTGTTGCTTACAATCATCTTCTTTATTTATTCTTATAAACATTAAATTAAATTAAGCTGATACCTTTTTATATTTTATATGTACAACCTTTTATCAATACTTTAATAAATATTTAATAAAGCATTTATATTTTCATCTCCCAATTATGAATCATTTTAATAGCAGGACAAAGTTAAAGTTTTTTGTCAGAAACACTTTTTCGGAAACCTCTTGTGAGTATAGTTTAGGCATGTTCAATTGGGAATACTATTGCATTTCATACCAAATGAAGTTCAAAGGGAAATTCGATCAGTTAACGAAGTCATGATCAGGTAAAGGCTTCTGAGAGGTGCTTGAATCTCACTCCTAACTTTTTGCCACCAGTTCCAGTGAAGCACTTACACAGTTCTCTTTACTCGAAATATTATTAAAATTTATATATTTCTATATGATTGATGGTATTTTTTATATTGCGTATTATTTTTATGTAATATTCAGTTTATTATTCGTAAGAAATGAAAAATTTCAGATTTGTATAAAAAATATACCAACAAAGAGATTAAATTATGTTTAATGTCTCTTTAAAAGTACGATTATTATTATAATATTGTTTAATCTAAAGCTGTATTAAATTTATTTATTGCTTTCACTAATGTTAAAAAAATAAACTTACATATAGTTTATATACTAACTGAACGGTATTTAACTAACAGTACAATAGAGAGGTTATAAAATATGTCAGAATTACACAAAGTCAAAGATCACTAAATATTCCGCAAAAGATAGAATTAATTTTAAACATGGTAATATGGAATAAATTCTGGTAAAATATAACTTGTTTTCTTTTTAAAATAATAATAATAACTATAAATAAAGGCCTGTATTCTATTCGACAAACTCCTTGGTGTTAGGAACTCAGTACTCAAGATTATAATTCGTGAAACAAATAAAAATGTTGACATTGACACAATATTTTACAATTCCAGTGCGAATTAAGCCATAGTATTAAAAAAATGTAATATGGAAATAATTAATAAAATAAATAAAAAAGGAAGTCAAAATATTTTCAATCCCTTCATTTTAAAATGAGTTCAATAATAAAATATTGATCATCTATAATAATATCAGTGAATTAAAAATTTTTCATTGTTGGTTTCCGAATATAGCTATTTAACTACTTAAATAATATTCATTTAATGACTCGTTTCCTTCAAACTATTATTTTTCTGGGACGTACGTTATATTTTGCGTGAGATTATTAACAATGGAAAAATTAGGTTTTGTTGTGTTAAATATTTAGATACATTTGTTTAGTAAAATCCATTATAGTTATATAAATATCAGTAGAGAAAAGGATTTTCTTGTTACTATTTATATTTTATACAACAATGTTACAGGTTAAAACGAATGAAATAATATTGGATTATTTTTTACACAAATTAGAGATATATTAATGAACTATTTTTAAGTACCAACTATAGATGATCTGGGAGAGAGTAACAAAAGATTAAGACTTTAAAAAATCCCAATAAAATATTATATATAGTGCTATATATAGATATTGTAGGAGTAATTTCACTTCTATACAATGCTAATAGTTTAAAAGCGTTGCCAAATTCAAGCGTACTGTTAGCAGATGAGAGTTGAATGGCTTTTAGCTAAACTTTGTGACACACTTAGCTCGGTAGTTTGTTTAATTAAGATGAAAGTTTTTAATTTGTCTATAGATTCACTGAAACTAATTGTAATATTCCTGTTCAGTTGTCCGAGTGTCTGTTAAGGGTAAATGAAAATATATTTTCTAGTAGAATTTTCATTTTTGCGAATTCGTGAGCTAGAATGTGTCATCTGCAAACATTTTGCTGCAGTACTCTCTGGAGCGATATGAGTGGGTATTTCGTGTCGTTTTGATTGCTTAGACTGCTGGCTTAATATGATAAATCTAGCTCCGAGCTATTTCATTTCAGATTGTTCGATTTTTGGTCTCGGTTTTGGAATATGAAAATTTTGCACTGCGGAATCGTTTTATCGACTGGTTCAAAGTAATTAAATTTTGCATTAATATCATATTATGTATCACAGATTTATATTTCATATTAATATCATTTCTTTTGTTTTTCTTATTATAATTACGTTATAATTTTTTTTGCATTATATAATTCTAAACAGGTAATTTAGGTATGTTATTTAAAGAGAAATATAATTTTATGTATAACTAAAATATACAATCATTAAATCCTTTGCCACTTTATAATACACATCAATAGTATTTTTTCCATAATTTTAAATAAAATTTCCAATGGTTGTATTACATGTAGTTTATAAATATTTCATTTGTATAAACGAGTTGATACAGAAGCAATTCAAAAGTAATAGTGTACAATAATTAAAAGTAGCGCTAAGTTTCTTCACCTGGCTACATAAAACGATAAAGAGTATCAGGTGTACTTACTCCATGGCAAATGGAATTATAGACGTCTAAAAGACACCGTCTGCACAGACAGAAAACATTTATTCAATATTAAAATTACATCTTAAAGATCTATTAGCTCCCTTCATTATTGTACATCATTTGTGACATTTACCAAACGTGAAAAGAAACATTAAAAAATTGTGAAATGGAAAAATATTTCGTAAAAATATATATCGGGGATGTTGAATTATTTTAAGTGTCTAATTAATTATAAGAAATTTATTAATTATTACGATTTCGTAATATTTTTCAATCACCTTTAATATCTAGATTTTGCTTGTATTGTGTGTAAATTTAAGTCGTTATTTTATGAAACTCATATTTACATATAAGGATGTCATAACAGTCGCTGAAGATGTCATACCTACGTCCACGTTCTACGGTGAATCCATTACGCAGATGTGAACTGAAGAGCGTTGAAGCGTTAATTGAAAAAGCAATTAAACCTTCAGGAAACATCTCACTGCTGAGATCGATCGTGGCTTGATTAAATTTCCTAGTAGATGGAAATTTTTTAACATACGATCTTTTTATAATTAGAAAAAAAAAATACAAAAAATTATGATGATGCTTTATTTGGTGCTAGCAAAAAATTCATGGTTCGTTTTATAATTCGTTTGAAGATTGAATTCAGTGTAATTTTCCGTAGCCCAAGCCAAGTCCACCTAGACCATAACTACCCAAGGGTATTTCTTTCAGTATAGGGGCAGAGATGATTGGTTCGATGATTGGGGCTGGGATAGAAGCGATGATGGGTGTAGCGATTGGTGCCACCGATACTCTTCGAATAATTGGGATAGGAGGTGATTGATTGACATTAAGTGTAGACAATGCTGGTCCTATGATCTTTTGCTTTATAATTGGAACAGTTTCTACCAGTGGGATCGTCAGACCTGCGACGAGAACAAAAAATATATGATCAATAAAATTTTAATATATGGAATTGGTTGAAAAAGTATATTTAATATTATTTAGTACTTCTATCATAAGTAGCGTATACTTATTTTAAAATTCAATACAAACTAATAAAAAATTATAACATACCCAGTTTAAATCGAAAACTATGCTGTGTTTAATATCTACTCTACATACAGAGAGTTAACAGTTTATTATTCATAAATCTTTCTACATTATAGTATTAACTTAGTTTATATTATAAAATAATGATTCTTATTTAATTTTGCCAGTCTAACTTGCAGTATGTATAAAGAATATCGAGCCAAAAATTGGTTATGAAAATCGCGCCTATTTTCAATACCTTTAAAGTGAATATTAATTCATTAGGAAGAAAATAAGCAATAAAATATTATTGGAAGGCTAACCTCCGAGACCTCCAAGACCTCCAAGACCTCCGAGACCTCCCAGACCGTCAAGACCTCCCAGGCCCAGACCGATTGCTGAGCTATGGCCTCCTGCCACAACAGCCATCAAGCATACCAACTGTATACAAAAACATGTCAGTCATAGAATTAAAATGTATATTCCTTGAAAATATTCATCCGATACATGTATTATTATTAACCCCCAAAAATTATACCAATCGTTTATCATGTATGCATAATAAAAAATTCATAAAAATCTCATGTATATATTTAAAAAGTGTGGATTTCACTGAAATTATAGGTGGTGAAATATTAAGGAATGAAAAGATTGAAACAAAAAGTATGCACACAAAAAAATTTAGTCATTATATATTAAAGGCTCATTTAAATTATGACATAATAAACATATATAATTTATATATTCTATTAAAAAATAATAAACACAGTACTTACAGCAATAAAGGTCTTCATGTTTCTAGATATCTTCAAACGAAGTGTGTTAATAGTGGCAAATTCCGTTGCATTTATAGCCCGTTTTACAAATTTCTGAAGGGAAATGTGCAATGCACTTTGCATCCTCGCAATATTAGTGTATATTAATTTCATTAATTGAAATTTTAATTTATGATTCAATAAGATTATTTCAACTTATTATGTTTTAATCGTAATTGTTCTGTAGAGTTCGCGTTTTCGACTCAACGAATTCTAAATCAAGTGCATTTTTGTAGGAAAAGATTTTCTATGAAAATTAATAGTATTCTTTAGATTTTCTTATGTTATGAGTCTTCAATTTTAATATTAAACATAGTAAGTTCATTAAGGAATACAAGGATGAAGTAAAAGATGATGTCTGTATGCTTTATATAATATATTGATGAGAAGGTTTACATTGCAATTTTAATTGGTAATCCGTCTGAAGATTATGTCTTAATGACCGTAGATTTTGCCGTAACCTCCATAGCCTCCGAGACCGTAGCCTCCAAGACCGTAGCTTGAGAGACCGTAGCCTCCAAGGCCGTAAGTTCCTAAACCGTAGCTTCCCAGACCGTAGTTTCCAAGGCTGACGCTAGATATCGGCACCGATTTTAATACAGGGGGAGAAATAATCGGAGAGTAAGCAACACTCTTAATGATAGGAGCTGCCTTGATAATCGGAACAATAGGGGCGACCTTGATTATCTTCTCCCTTATAATCGGCTGACTATAGATAGGTAGTGGCAGGCCTGTGTAATACAAATACATACATTTAGTTACATTATATTATTCTTATATTTTAATATTCGTCTAGGTTTAAGCGTCGTTTAAAAATAATACTGTTTGAAACCACTTAGCACTTAGTATTACTGAACGTTGTATATATTGTACATCGAACGGTAAAGATTTCATTGGATAAAATGCAATATTCATACAAGCTTTGGTTTCGTGACTAATATATAATTTATTGATAGTGTTCCTAATAAAACTATTTACAATAACAGATAGCATCACTATCTTGGCTACAATTATTAGCCAGTATTCATTAGCTTTCAGCTATCACCATGTATAAAAGTAGGTTTTGTATTTCAACAATACTTACCAATACTACCGAGTCCATAGCCGATGCCGGAACAACTTCCACAAGCGACCACAGCCAACAGGCAAGCCAACTGTTGAATTATAATATAAAAAGATATAAATATACATAAGTTAAACAGGTTCTTTTGGAAATGTAAGTAAAACCTAAGTAAAAGTAAAACCTAATTTTCAACTAAGATCTAAGATTTACCAATTCGTAGGTAAATGTCCAAAAAAGGTATTTGATTAGGATTTAGGTAAGATTAAGCTGATTGAATTATTTCTTGTTTTGTTTATAAAACTTACATCTGCAAGCTAACAGCAGTAAAATTTAGTATATCCTGAATACTAATGGTGAAAATCCGAAAAAAATCTTATTTTCAACATTTACCAACTAAGTTTTACTAGAAAATCTTAAAATTTACAGTAGTTCGAGATTTTTCAGTAACATATATATCAGATACAATGTAGTACTCACAGTTGTAAAGGTGTTCATGATTGTTGATCTTCAGACGAAGTGTTAACATTGTGTTGTTTTATTCCATATTTATACTAAACTTCTTTAGTTCTCAATTTGATACACGCAACATAATTAAGCTAGATAATTGATTGCTTACAGGATTGTGACACGAAACTCGAATGGAAGGTAAATTTATTTGTTAAATTTGCCTCATATTTGTATAATTATTTTAATTCTAATATCAGTAGAGACGGGATGGATTTAATTGTGTAGTGACAACTACTTTTCTAGTTTATACTCGAGAAGATTTTTATAACAAGGAAATGTTATAATTGATTGAAAATCCCTTTGTTATTCGTCTTAGCTAGTTCATTGTTTGACTATCGTTTATTTAGTAGATAAAATAGTTGTAACACATTGTTCTTAAATGCTATATTTTTCGAACTAAAAAGTAAGAAGTTTTGCCCTCTGAAACTAATAAGTAAAAGAAAGTAGCAGCATTGTAGTTTTGTTTGGTATTAAAGGGGTTAATTAAACAAAAATTTTAACACTTCAAATTAATTTTAACTGAAATTTTACAAATTATACAATGCATTCTATGATATAATTAATCAACAAAATTAACTGAAACAATCCAATTTGATTTTTGTTATAGATATTATTAACTTTTGTACAAAAGAACAATAATAAAAATTATTCTTTTTAGTAGCACGTAATAAGACTATTTTAGAAATAAAATTATACATATTTTTCAAAATAACTTTTCTCGTACATTACTTTGATATTTATATATGAATAAAAATAATAAAAAACATAATTCAATTTCATATAGGTATATGTATATACATTAACATCAAAATGTCTAACCCTAGAACTATATCTTTCATACAATCTTGTTCTTAATATGATGCAACAGTGATTCATTCATTAGAAATTGCCTTATAACCTTTGTTTCGCCATTATATATGAATGGAGGATATAGTATAAGTACATAACAATATAAGTACATTTTTTTATGTACTGAACAATATGTTTCACGCGCCAGCGGTCATTGAGCGGTAGCATCCTTTTTTATCAAGGTGATGAGTTTTAACTAAAATGTAGGCAATACTAATGTTTGAAAACGTTTGAGGATAAAACTAAGAAAATATTATTTGAGGTTTTGTTAATAATTTTATCTGATTAAAAACTAACTGATTACTAAAAATTTAATGTACATATGTGTTTCGAAATAAAATTAGGTTTACTTATATCGATTTCATTATGAAACGTAACAAAGGGATGTACAGTCTTTATTATATTTCTATTAACTCTACGTTTTTACGTCTAACAAAGCCTTGTAAGAAACAAGTTAAAGAATCGTTTGAATATATTTAATAAAATAGATTTAAATACATATTTATCTGGAATAAAATAAATATAGGACAAATTATAAGTAGATAATAACAGATTAAGTCAGTGGTGGCCTAGTGTTTAAAAGGCCCGCCTCTCATGCACGAGGGCGCGGGTTCGATCCTGGTCCTGGCAAGTACCAATGTGATTTTTCCGAGTCATATGCACTTTCTAAGAGTATTTGGACATCACTGATTAATGCATTCCAAAAGAGGGTTGATGTCAGACAGGCGGACGGTCGTAAAAACAATTAGCCAAAACTATTCACAACATGTAAGGCAAACCTGGCTAAAGCTGGGACATTAGTAGAAGAAGAAAATAAATATAGGACAAAATAAATATTAATATTAATTTGGCAATGAAAAACAAGTAAGTTCATATTTAATATCATATATTAAATAATTTATTCAAAAACAAAATAAGCTGTCGATTCATATGTATTATACATGTTCTACATTAACATATAACAACATAATTAAATTTTAAACATAATTAATACATAGTAATGATGTTTTATTATTTCCATATGATAATTGTGTAACGATGTTGCTAAATCAAATTATACAACGGTTGTATGAAAACTAATTGCAGTCCTGATTAATTCAAACATGAATCTGTTAATTATAAGCAAAAACGTATATAAATAAATTAGAATACATTTTAATAATCTTTATTATTTGTATGTGTAATTAAAAATATGTAATTTTAAATCGTTTTATAGATTAAAGCATTAAATTAGATTATGTTTTTCATAGTGTTATTGTTAAAATTTAATTATTTTAAATTCATAATTGAGTTGATTAATAAAAATGTATTAAAATATTTTTTTAAACATATTCTTTAAAATATCGGTGGTATGTATATATTTTTGGAAAATCGATTTTGTTTTTCTATTTGTAAAAAATAACAGTATAAACATTTGCTCATAAGGAGCTTGTTATTTTTATAAGGTTATTTTTTATATTTTTTAGATTATTGAAAACCGGATAGAATGAATATATAATGAAAAAAACAACTCAATGAGTAGGATTTGAATCTGAAACGTCCAGGATAAAACATTTCAGTAGCTTTACCAAATAAGTTATACATATCACCGCGATTGGAGTCGGCAAAATAAGCATTAAGCGATTATATATATATGCTCGTTACTTTTATGTTAGTAACATAATACAATATAATAATTTCAATCAAAACCAGCATATAGTTTACTTACAAATTGTTCAATGCGCTTCAATTCTTTCAAATACTCAGAAATCTTACTGGTCAGTTGATATACTAAATCATCAAAATTGGAAAAGAAATATGAAGACCATGTAATATTGTTATAACTAATTATATTATGTGATAAAGAAATAAATATATTTGTCAGGGAAACTAAATGCAATGTACTTATGGTATAGATACCCTATATGTGTGATTACATACTTATATAGTCTTCTTCTTCCTGGTAATTTCCCATCTTTGGCCAGGGTCTGCCCTTATATAATATTGTTGAATTTATATGTATATTATAGGTGTTATACAAAAGTATCAACAAGTATATTTTTAAAAGAACCTTACATCGGTGCCATTAAAATTGTGTTTTTGAACACTTTGTTTAAATTTATGTAGTGATACAGAAAATGAATTTATCATATTTATTTTGCTGACTTTTAGAATTAAATAATAAAAATATTTATTTAAAAAGATTAAGTTAAATTTAATATATGTCTGTAAAGTTTGTATTCAATGCAATTTCGTTCTCAAAACATTGAGGTGTGAAATTTGTTCAACACTGTCCAGTTGTATTCTTTGCGGAGTGGGTGAGTGATCGATTGAATATATCACATAGCTACGTTCACAGTTAGAATGAAATGCTATTTGTATTGATTCTGAACTATGCAACCATTTTATATACATATCTTACAATATTCGGGAATTGCTTGCTATTTGTTATTTTGGGTTAAATCATAATTCTTCTTTGGTTAAGATTACTTGCATTAAGTAACTTTAAAATTCAGCATTTACAATAATATATTTATAGAAAAAGTATAATAATATAAAGTTATAATATCAAAGAAGTTTTGAGCATATAGTTACAAAAAATGTCGAAGGTGGTACATTTAATAGTTTGGAATGTAGAGTATTATACACAGAGACCCACAAAGGTGGGTCTGCTTCAACACATTTGTCCCTTTTGTTATAAAGTTCGCAAACTTATAACAAAAGGGAAACCGGATTAAATTTAAACTGTATAAACTATAACATAATTCAGAAGTGTCTAAATGGTGGAACCCTTTATAGAAATGTGTTAATACTCTGATTATTATACTGTTCTACTTGCATTTGAATGAGACTTTGTTTGACTAGAAGTTAAAAGTGAAAGTATTAATAAAGTCGATCTAATTTATTGAACTGTTATAGATACATACATCATGCCCAATAATACTTTTTAATAATACTATATGCGTAATTAGTTATAATTTCAATTATTAAAATATGAAACGAAACCTCTTAGCATTCAATGTATTCACCGTGCGGGTGCCGGATCAATCGCGTTGCAGGGAGAAGAGCTTCAACAGTACCTGGGACTTGCGACCCAGGTATAGGTTTAAGGTCCCCTACAATCGCGCGTTAAACCCTCACCTCCACTATCCAAGCTTTTCTCTCTAACTAACTAAATTTGAAAAGAATCTTGTAGGTCTACCTCCGAAGTACATTCAACGAATGTATTGATTTTATTTCTGGACAAGCCCAAATCTTTTAGTAGATTACAGAAAGACTTAGCTGTTATAACGCAAGCTCTTAATTTGACATTTTATTAAGTCTCTCAGCTCTTAAAAATATCTCTACATCTGACAGATGTGCTTTTGTAAGTGAACATTTTCACTCTTCAACTTCAACTATAATTCTATTCATTACCTACATATAATTCCTTGCATTACTTTACATTACTTACATTACCCACAATAAACCTAGATTTATAGGATTTAAAAATCAGTTTTTGGCGCATGGTTTTATATTAAGTCTTTCATTATATGTTTTAGAATATAAACCAATAGCTGTTCGTTTCAAAATATCTAATTCTATAAAGTAGGCTTTAATAAATGATATATTTTAAAAGTAATCTCCAGTGTCGCATGGTTTGTAAATGTTTTACGCTAAAGCTTTGAAGAGGCGTTTAAAATCGTTTGTTATTTTGTGCAAAAAGTTTGTCGCTGTATTCTTGCTTTAAAGTTGTCTTAATGACTTAAAACAAAAGAAAATCCTAGCAAGAATTTTCATGATCGTGATTATATTTAATATACATAATAGACATGAATTTTTATGTTTGTTACAATAACACAAAATATTGTTTTATGCAATTTTATATAATAATATATAAACTATAATTTTAGAAGTGACAGTGATGAAACGGAATGGACCTATCACAATTGTCAATGCAAGAGCGTATACTTTCCAATTTGGACTATTTTCGTCCCGTAATTATGCAGTATTATTTCCATTTTAAATTACTCTCTTTGTGATAGCAAAGCCCATTTGTCTATCCTCACTTCACTCTTCTCAAAATTTTCGAATTTAATTTAAAGGCTCTTTTCAACCTTACAAATTCATCTGTTGAAATTTTATAAAGGGTAAATATTTTAAGGAACATATATGACTTATTATTTTTATTTATATACTGCCTTGCGTTTTACTCATAGATGTTTTCTTTGTCCGCATTTAATGTATGCCTTACAATTGTAGTAAAGTATTAGTAATATTCTATGAAGTCCCTTTCATACTATTTTTTCAACTTTCTTTTCAGTCATCTAAACATATCCATGATATATGTATATAACTAGGATTTTCACACATATAAACAAATCCTTTAAAAATAAATTCTTAGAAGGACGAAAATATTGATATGATTTTATTATGTCGAACAAAAGGTATCTATACCAAAATTAATCTATTTGTATTTACTTTGTAATCCATTCCCATTTTATAAATATTGGATTGAAGAAGAGACGTTTATTGTAAAACATTATTCCAAGAAAATTGCAACGAGCATCTGAGTGTTCTCGTTATAAGATACTCGAGACGAAATCAGAATTGGCGAGTTGAATAAAATAATACTTAATGTTCTACATTTTCTCAGAATAAAAAGTATTTGGTTAAATTCATATAGTTCTACGCTGAAATTTTATATAAATTAGTTAAATTCAGTCGTTTTTTAGTATATTTATATAATATTTGAGATAATACACCGAAATCAAATATATGTATAAGATGTTTGGAGTTTAACTCACCACGCTGTTTCTAGGAGTGGTGGGTTAAATTCAAAACTGTGTATGTGGCTGTGGTGGCCACTATGATGACTGTATTTTAAAATTAATTAAAAGATTTAATTATGCATTTATATTATATAATATAATTAAATGATTACAGCCGGGATTCAAACCTACGAACTTGTAATTGTAGTAAGAAACTGTCTTCCATATATTTTTATTTATAACATTTAACATATTGTAAAAGTAACAATAAGTTATTAACTAAATGACACGAATAATTTCATTTAACTGCTTTTATGTATATTTTATATATATCTTTCAAATTTCAATAATTTCAACCAGATTTATATTTTTACCGTTAAATCATTTGAATTGTTTCACTCAACATATAATTAAAATAAGGTAGAATAATAAATGTTCTTAAAATTATTACAAAAAGTACGTTTACATTCTGGATGTGTGTGCAATCGTCGTGAGCTCCCCCGAGCTTCTTTATGTAGCAATTTTTAAAGCTTCAAGAAACAATTTTGCATCTTGTCTCTTATTTCCCCAGAGATAAAAGAATTTTCATCGATCACACTCTGTACTTGGTCTTAGCTTTGTCGGATTTGCTTTTCTCGTCTTAACTTCAATTAATAATAAAGTAAGTAGGATAAGTCTATACATTTTTAGAATTACAAATGGAAATTGATTTTTTTTGTTGGTTACTGAGTTTAGGTATAAATTCCATACATACAAATAATTGCACATTAATATAATTCATAGAATGTTAATGGATTTCGGTCGTAAAAGCATTTATTAATGTTTAGGTATGTTTTATTTCTCAGTTATGATTACCCGCTGTTATTGTCTTAATTTATACGATTATAGCTTCTATATAAATCAATCTATACTTAGTTTATAAGTAATGAAGTTTCATAATATAAATATAGAAAAAATCTTCTACCAACATTACCTTTTAACAAGTAGCTAAGACGGAGTGCAAGTAACAGTCTTATTATAACATTTTAAAGAAAATTTAACGACCGGAAAAGCGCCCAAAGCGATACTTTAGGGACCATGCCTTCAGTCTTCGAGAGAATAAAATGAGACATCGTTGAAATAAAATGAGAACAGAAAAACATAAAGTTTATTTAGAAATAAATGAAAAGCTAGTGTATTTAAAAACAATTCTCTATTTATCAAGAATTTCCAATTATATGAAATATTGGATGGGTTAAGTCAGTGGTAGCCTAGTGGTTGCCCTGGCCCGGGCAAGTACCAATATGATTTTTCCGAGTCATATATACTTTCTAAGATTATTTAGACATCACTGATTAATGCATTCCCTAAGAGGGTGGATGTCAGGCAGGCGGCTGGTCGTAAAAACAATTAGGCAAAACTATTCACAACATGTCAGGCAGACCCTGGCTAAACCTGAGAAATTGGCAGACAGAAGGAGAAGACTGGATGGGTCATATAATACCTTTAGAAATTACTCATTTAAACATTTTCTATTTATCGTACAGAAAATTGCAAATAATTAAAATAGCCCTAAGGTAATACGAACGGTTTTTAATTTAAAGAGACGTCGTTAACTGAAACAACCTTGGTAAAATTACAACAGGGGGAATTGTTGAAGTATAGTAGTAGCTAGTAAAATACGACTTCAATAGACTACAGCCAAAGACCTTAGGCTGTCTGCAGACGAATAAAAGTATATTATTTTTTGGTTTTAACGCATAGGTAATTAAATACGAGTTAACATATTAAGTTATTAGATATTAAGATATTCTATACTTACTTCTCATTCCTAGAATATTGGTTAAATAGATCTCGCGAAGATTCTATTACTTATTTTTAAACTGTAGATAATAATTTGCAATTCTTGTAGATTTTTGGGCTATCGTTGTCATATACCTGGACATTTTAATCGTACCATGTGAACAACCCTTATGTGGCCATGAGAGCTTTACACTGAGGCTACGAACAAGTCTAAGTTGCATGGATGCTTCATTGCCCAGAAAGTAATAGATGTAGCGTTACTTAAGACGCGAACTAAAATCTTTGAAACAAACCAACTTTGTTTATATTACACAAGCTGTTAGTGTGTACAGACCCTTATTAAGATGAGATTAGTCAGATTTTAGAGTCTAATATAATTACACAAAAAATCTGTCTTGAAATATATAGTTCTAATAACACTTATGTCCGAGGTTTGAAAATAAACAAGTCATTTAAATTACTTCATAAATTTTAATACAATTTATTGTACATAATTTATTTAAGAAATTAGATTAAAATTAAGTGCAAAATGTATGAACCCATTGTTTTAAATAAAGATTTCAAAAAGATTTAGCTTTAACAGACGATGCAAAAATAAAAAAAAATGTTTATTTAAAAAAAACTTTTTGTTTTACACAAAAAAAAATAAGAATTATTAATAGCGTTGTTATTTTATGAATGTCAAAATGAATAATTGTTAAGGCCGAAATTTTCATTATTAATTATTATTTTTTAACTAATTATTATCTTATTACTATCATATTCCTGGTTCCATGGAAGTTAAGAACGCTTGCTTCGTATCCTCTTGGTTCTGTAATATTAATAATATCTTTTATTACGTCGTTTATAAATTTTAATAAGAAAAATTATCTTTCTTAGAGGGACTTCCCAATGATCAACGAAATTTTATGTAAGTTTGCTAAGCAATCGATCGACAATGCTTCCTCTGTAAATTGATAAATATTAATGAACTCGTCCAAATAAATTTCTTCGCAATTTCTATTAGATGAATTTAATACCCACATTTAATAGACATTTTAATTTTTTTTACCAATAGTCATAAAATAAATATCAAAAGATATAAATAATATATATGTGGCGCCATCTATTAAGGGAACTTGTGAACTCAAATCACCCCTAAACCAACTTTAGTATGGAGTAATCTTTAGTAAAACGTGTCAAGCTATTTTTAAACTCATATGCTGTAAGCGAAATATAGGGTGAAACGTCTTTTGAGAATAAGAAATAAACGCGAAAGGGTGGGATTTTTCAAATATAGTAGCAATTCATATTGACACTTTATACTTATAGAACATAATATATTTGTCAAAATTTCTATGTAATAAACTTGAAATTCAAACCTCACAATAATTATTCACAACGAGAAACATTTTGTTAATTAATATGAAAGGCTAATAATTTAACTTACTCTGTTGTTTCCGTTTTCGAAGGCTTTCATCATCCCCTGGGTCTTTTTCTGTGCGGAGGCTGCCCGTTGTTGTAATATCTGAAATTATTTGCACGTAATATTTTACAATGATTTGAATTATTCTTCAAATATTTTGATTTTCTTTATAGGTACTAGTACTTTTATGTTATATACGGCGGCTTTAAGGCGTACATTAATGTTATAATTAAAAAGAATGAAAGTACGTTTTGAAATAAAAGTTTAAGTTAAAATAATTTTAATAATAGTAGACATAATATTGTCTACATGCAACTGACATTTTTCAAAAATATAGCACGAGTAGTTTATCCGAAAAGTATTAGTTTTATTTAAATCAATACTCGCGAAAGTCACAATATTACAATAATATTGTCTATATATCAATTTATTCTTCACCATTAATCTCCGTTGTTCCGCCTCAGCTAATTTCTCTTCTATGTCTGGGAGGCTTATTTCAGCCGCTGGATGCTGGAGTAATCTCTGAAGATGAGGAGGTGGACTAGAACGACGAGCTCCATCGAATTCCTCTAAAGGTATCTCATACGCCACAGCTGAATAAAACAATAACGCTTTAGATTCTTGAAATAACTGTATTATACTGATGCATATTATATATTTATGTATGTACAATTTGGAAGCGTTATGCTAAAAGGCATTTAATTTACCTTAAAATAGTTTCAGTTAAATTTTCTTAAAATGTTAATAAAAAGCCTCATGTATAATTCAAATTATAAAGGCAGCTAGCTTTAATTTAAATAGTTTGAACAAGCGCAAACATCGCCGACAGCTTTGTAGCGGTCAAAGAGGTTTCAACTTCAGAATTTAGTATATTTGCTATTTTGGTTGCTTTTACAAATTGACTTTGACACACATTATGTGTGTATTACACTTGTTTGATTCCTTTATATGGATTTATTTTAATCGGATATGAAATTTGTGAATTTATATTGACGTACTGAAGTGCCTTATTATAGCTTTTCTACTAAAAGGCTTAGTTCTCCAATACCTATGTTTAATAACTTTAAAATTTAACCCTGAGTTATACAAAAGCTATGAGAGTGGATTCCAACTTCAAAATATTTTCATATATATAAATTATTATAAACATTTTATTAATGTTCATTGTCAAAATAATATGAATTTTACTCACGTGGTTTAGGTTTCATAGGAGTTTCGGGTAACAAGACGGTGGGAACGTCATCGTTATGATGGTTGAAGCCATTAGTGCCATGGCCGTTAGTGCCATTTCTGGCATTGTCAGTGCCAGTTTTGGCATCTCTCTCCGGTTCAACCACGTGACCCGATGAACCGCACCCCATTATAAGAACATATTACAACTCTATTGATACAAGTTCTCGATTTTGTTGGATTTTATTTTGTTATTAAAACCACCTTATTATTAACTTCTTCATGTTTAAGAACGCTAGAAACAAATAAGAAAATAGATTTAAGCGTTTTTTTATCAAAATAATAACATACTTTTATTAGTAATTATGTTTATACCGGGCATATACACAAAACTGTGCTTTTAATTTTATTTCTTAAGTATTTATTTCATCAGAAGATCGTTAACTCCGGATGGATTATGACTGGAATATTATTTAAAAAACTTCAGGCAAAGTCTTTGACCAGTAACTAGTTAATAATTGTAAATAACATAACATATAAATACTTTTTTTTAAAACAAAAATCTAGATTATGTATAATTCTTTAAGAGCCTACTAATAATGTCAGCATGAAAAATACGTATTAAACATATTATGTATGTACTATTTAGGTTACATTAAAATTATTTTTTTGTCAAAATTTATGTGAAAAATATCTAGAACTTGATGTTAGTTTTTATTGTTACTCATCTAGTTCAGACATAAAAAGCTTTTCTTGTATGGTACCATCGTTTGTTGGTACGACCGTCTTACAGACACTATTCAAAGGGCAATGCCTTCAAAAACGTCTAGTTTGACAACCAATAATTTTAACATATGCACATACATAACCTATTTGAATTGTTTACTTTTTTAATTATTCTCTTTTCTATAGAATTAAGATTTTCGGATACATAAGCCCTTACAGACGTGATGGCCGACCAAGTCAGTGGTGGCCTAGTGGTTAAAGGGCCCGCCTCTCGTTGCCGAGGGCACGGGATCGATCCTGGCAAGTACCAATGTGATTTTTCCGCATTATATGTACTTCCTAAGACTATATAGACACACGGACAGACTGTAAAGGAAAAATCGTGAGGAAACCTGGACTTATAATTTCAAATTATAAGTTTGAAATCACCAACCCGTCCTGAGCAAGCGTGGGGATTAATGCTCAAACCTTCTGCATGTGAGAAAGAGATCTATGCTCAACAGTGGGCTCTGATAGGCTGATGATGAATTTTTTACAGCAGCCGTGATGAAAGATTCATTATATAGTTATAGAATAATAAATAACGCGTAGTATACGAAAAAAATAGTTTCATAATGAGATCTAAGACTTTCGCGAGTATTCATTTAAATGAAACTAATATTACTACGCGTAGTAATCCGAAAATATATTTTTAGTTAAATTAGTTGGTTTCATTTAATAAGTATCCGCGAAAATCTATGATATCATTATCCTCTTTTCATCCATATATAAATATCATATAAAAGGCGAGATTAATGCTAAGATGCGTTTTTTACCAGCGAGCCTTAGGTATGAAAATAAAAAGAGAGAGTTAAGAATGTAAGGAATATGTACGACAATATAAATTATCATAATATGTATATAGAATAACTTATGTAAATATAGCTATAACGATTAAGATTCACGTTTATTTAAGATGATGATGATGATGAACATATCTTGAAATACTAAAAGGAGTGTACTATTAAGTTATTATACATTTTATATGTATAAATATTATATTTTAATAAAATATCTACTGCTTTTAGTAGTCTTGTGTCGACCTTAATCTTCACACACGGCTACTTTTTAATTAATCAAAATGTTATTATATCGTATTAATAATATCAATAATTCCATAAAGAAAAACCACTCAATGTTGTTGTCATGTTTATTTTTCCTTATGGATGAAAGCTACTTTTACCTATGTATTTTTTGTCAATGTTAATTTCCTATTCATTTATATATAATTAATTTTGTTAATAAAACTGAAGTGTATTCGTTTTTTGTTATATTCATTAAGTACTTTTTCGAGTTTGTTGTTATAAAATGGATTACTATTGAAGGTTATAAGAATAAATAATAATAATAACTTTTAGTTTAAGTTTTTTTTCATATTACATATCGTTTGATATAAGTATTTTACAGTAAAAGTGGTTTCAAAACCTCATATAGATAGTACAATTAATAATAACTGATAATCAATACTTAATTAATTATGTAATATAAATTCACTTCGCATAATACAGACAAATATGGGTTTAGTCGCGTATCAATTAAAATTTATAATTATTTTTGATGAGAAAATTATGTTATATCAGATTGGTATAAAAGCAATTAAATTTATGTACATTTATACTTTGTAGCGAGTTGTTTATTTAAGGTTACATAGAAGGAAATTAATTAGAATTTTGATAGATTATGTATATTATATTAATGTAAAATTTTGTCAATGTTTTTGTATGTGTCTCAATAAGACAGTATACTGAACCCTACTGCGTATAGTTTTTGTGTCCGAAAGTTAAAATTATGGAATAGTACAAATACACATAGTAATAGTATAACTTTCTAAAATTAAGATTGAAATCACTTTTTACTATATTACACAGCAGATGAAATTGAGTTTAATGATATCTGAGACCTTTGCGAGTATTGATTTAAATAAAACTAATATTTTCGTATGTACTACAAGCTTGTTATAAGTCAGTGGTGGCCTAGTGGTTAAAAGGTAAAAAGGCCCGCCATTCTAGCTTGAGGCTTCGGGTTCGATCCTGATCCTGGCGAGTACTAATGTGATTTTTCTGAGTCATATGTACTTTCTAAGAGTATTTAGACATCACTGATTAATGCATTTCCAAAGAAGGTTGATGTCAGGCAGGCAGCCGCGCCGGTCGTAAAAACAATTAGCCAAAACTATTCACAATATGAAAGACAGACCCTGACTAAAGCTGGGAAATTGCCAGGTAGAAGAAGAAGTGCTACAAGCTTGTTATTACTTTGAACAACATTCTCCCAACGTTTCGGTTACTTTACAGCAACCGTGATCACGGGCAGACGAGATGAAATGTTTTATTATCATCAGTTTAGTTTTATTGAAATTTATTCTAGTTATGTTCGGTTATTTTTCAGTTTTAATAAGACAGCTGTTTTATTTCATCATAAATTCAGTTAGCTGTAAACAAACGTAATGAAAGACTTAAACGTCCTGTAACTAATTGGCCGTAAATTATGAAATTGATGCAATTAACATCGCATGAATAATCACATTGACTTACAAAATAACAACGCTATACATAATTCGCGCTTTTTTTTATTAAACTGCTGATATCCGTAATTTTTTTATCATCTCACGTATTTCAAGTACACAAAATATGATTATGTATTACCGAGATCTTAAAGTGTTATAATACTTTTAGCGCTTTTCAGTAATATTGCGGACTTCAATATTATTACCAAAAAGCGCTTTTAGTGATTCCACCCGTGCGCCGTGGTTCACATCGGACGCGATACTATCCCTTCAATTAATATGGGTTTTATGTTCCACATTCATGTAGCGCGATTTTAGGTTATGGATTTTGATATTTTACAATCAATATTTTTTTGTATTTAACTCAGACGATAGTTTAAAAAAGCGTGGACAAACCTTAGATTTCTATTAATTATACTACATTTTTAACTATTCCAACTTGAAGAAATACGTTTTTCTTATAAAATTCATATGATAAAATAAAATAGGGAGTAATTATTCTATGTCTATACTATTTCCTATAATGAGATCTAAGATTTTCGAAAGGACTGATTTAAATGAAACTAATATTTTCGGATCTACTACGCGATTTTTTATTTTCGACTATTAACTACATACTCCCGACGTTTCGGCTACTTTACAGCAACCTTGATAACGGGCAGACGAGATGACATCTCGATCTCGAAAATAAAAAATCCGAATATTCTATTTTACATAATTTTGTGTTATTACTTCTGGATCTTTCATATCTAATTTTGACTTCACTGTTTCACTTAAACGGACACTTTTAAATATTCCGTGAGAGTTTTATTGTAGTATATTATTCAAATATCAAGATAACTCCATCCTACTGTATTCAGGATTAACAATACTTACATAGAAATTACGGACCGCGCCTGACACCCGAAGGCTTGAAGTGTCACTGGAATAAAATACAATAGAGTCGCTGTTTAATATTTAAATATTTATACACCTAATAAATACATCTACTGATATATCATAAATATTATGACATAAAACTCATTTGAATTATTTTTTGTATCTTTTAACTTGGTTGCCTGAAATTGAGAGTGCATTACAATGAGTATTTTTTTATTTGAATTAAAAAATACAAAACAAATATCAACTTTTGTTAATCATATCTAATACACATATAATAAAAATACTTAAATAAAAAAAAAATGCTAAATAATCTATTATAGTAAGTTTTTTGTTTCAACTAGATTTTGTAATTTTTTCTAGGAATTTTAAACATATTATATATATTAAGTGTAATATATAGATATAATATATATTTAAATATTCTCTATCAGAATCCTAAACTATACTTCTGACATGCAAATATTAACTACTTACAAATATGCAAAAGTTATTACCTTTTGACTAGCTTAAAATATCTTATAAAACTTTTACCTCAGACATTTTCTCCGGTTCGAATGAGCAAGGGGAAGTTTCTCGTTTTATAGTATTCAGAATTATAGAAGAATGGGGAACTTATGCTGCAGAAAGTCCTTACTCCTTTATTAAGAATTAAAGTAGCAAAAGTACAAAGAAATATCTTATTTGAATTTGATTTAAATAACTTACATTATTAAATGATGTACGATTTCTTTAAGATAATAAGCAGATGCTAAATCATATAAAATTATTGGGATTTTTTAAGATTCTGTCCTTTAAAATCTTCAGTATTTTTTTAAAGACAATTATTTGGGCTATTTTCCCTATCATGGTGCCTTAATAGGAAGTTAAACTTATTAATTATCCTATTTTACTACATTAAATAAGCAAGTTTTAAATATTTTTTCTAATTTAAGTCCACTCCATTAAACGTAATCGTTCAACAGTTTGATTGCTACTATATAATGCATGTCCCCCCGACCTAATCACGCCTCCCCTATACGATGTATCGTCATTCGTAAA